ACTGTAGCCTACAGTCATTGCATTTAAGGCATCAATATGTTTACATGTTTGCACAAGTTTGCTGTTGCACCAAAATGTGCACTATTTATGTATTGCTTTATATTCATTTTTACGGTTTGAAGTTAAGCAGGACAGGCTTATCTTCAAGATATTTATTTTATTCAGCAAACTTTGTTATTTTGTATTAAACTGAAATGCTGGATAATTAGTTTTCCATGTGTTCATGTCACTCACATATATGCATCTAATTTAATGCAGATTTGAGTCAAATAGTTCTAAAAAAAGATCATTTCACACACAAAGGGGGGCTAAAACATTCAAACAGGGGGTTACCATGGCAGCGCTCCAAGGCAGCGGCAAAGAGCAGCTCCTATCAACAATTTACAAAAATATGCTGCTTAAAACGATACAAACTAGACATCAAACCCGCATCTATGATCGCCAACGCTGCTGGAGCTACGGTCACAAAATGCTTTAAATACTGACATTTTTCACCGTTTAAAAAGCTGCATGGTGCTACGGACGGATGTCAACAAAACAATAGCGGAAAATAGAGGAAGAGGTGCGTGAGACGGAGAAAGCGAGGCTGCAGAGGGGGGGGCTAAATGCAAAGCTAAAGAGAAATCCCCACAGACCACCGCTTCCATCAACGTCCGCTCGTTGGAAAGCAAAATGGATAAACTCCGACTCTGTCATCAAGGAAGGAGATGAGTAGCTGCTGCGCCATCATTCTGATGGAGTCTTGGCTGCGTCCAGCAGTAACGGACGGTGCTGTTGGCCTGGGGGGGCTGATGCTGCACCGCGCCGATAGAAACAAAGAGCTCTGCATGAATGGAAACTCCTCTGAGACTGTTCCCAGGCTATCTTCGTCATCTAAAGGGGAAGCACTGCCCTCTGCAGGTGAAAATGAGGACAGCACTCTAGATGCTTCCCTGCCAAATGCTGAAACATCCCCAGTCGGCTCCTCCCCGCCCCCTCCAGCTTCCACACCTTCTCCAGCATCGTCTGTCGCTGCTAAACCTGCCGATGGCTCCACTGCTGCTTCAACCACGTCAGCCTCTTCGACCCAGGGGGGGCTACCACCCTCACAGCATCGCCATCNAAAAATATGTCGCTGCTAAACCTGCCGATGGCTCCACTGCTGCTTCAACCACGTCAGCCTCTTCGACCCAGGGGGGGCTACCACCCTCACAGCATTGCCATCATCATCCTCTTCCTCCCCTGAGCCAGGAGGAGCGAGCGCTGCAGGAGCTGGAGGCAGTAGCAGCAGCTCAACAACAGCTGCTGCCAACCTGATCAAGGCTGCACTTTAAGAAACGAAACTGTCTAGAGCGGCGGTTTTCAAAGTGTGAGGCGCGCCTCCCCTGGTGGGCGCCAGAGCACCTTAGGGGAGGCGCAGTGAGAGGGAAAAAATAAATATGAATTTATGACCAAGTTGGAACTGTGGGGTGCGCGTGTGGAGCGGGGATCATTGGAATGTTTCCCACCTTAGAGGATGTTTTGGCCAGAGCGGGGCTGAAGGTGGAGTTTTTACAGCAGGCTGTGCGCGCATTTGGTGGGGATGCGCGAGCAGTTTGGAGTGTATTTTGGAGAGGAGACAATGGCAAACCAGGGGGTGAGAAACCCATTTTCCTTCCTCATGGCACTCAAAGATGGACTTTCAGCAGGAGAGGAAGAGGCTCTGGCTGAGCTGAGCTATGACATGAAACAGAGGATGAGTGACGTGTCACTTGAGCACTTTTGGCTGTCAGTAGGGACTGAATTTCCACAGCTCTCAATGAAGATCTGATCAAAATGTTTTTGTTAAGATGTGAAAACACTGTTGGTATCTCAAACATTAAACTCAGAATCTCAGATGTAATGTTTGTTTGAGAAAACAGTTGAAAAGTGAGTTTGGCGTTGTTCTTATCATTAGAAAGATTTAAAAAAAGGGCGTATTTGGCATACAAAGGCCCCGATAAGATAATTAAAATGAGAGGACATGTTTTAAAATGTTCATGTGTTAAATTTCATTCAGAAAAAGTGTCATTTTAAAAGATGAGATGGTTCTAAAATAAAAACAATTACAAGGTGTTTTGTAGTGGTATTTGTTTGTGTGTGGGTTGATTAATCTTTTATTTTTTTTGGGGGGGGGCAGCAGGCATAGTGCTCCCTGGAGGGAGGCTCAGCCTTTCATACTTTGAAAACCCCTGGTCTAGAGAGCTGTTCTAAACGAAATGTTCTTCCTATTTAAACTTGTGTGTACAAAATGACAAAATAAATCTGTTTAAGTCTAGAAAAAAATCACCACACCAGGAGGGGTAAAGGCAATCGGGTCAGCTGGCACGCACATGATGTGGACCTTTTTTTTTTTCAGGGACTTGGCAACCCTATTCAGAACTAAACTTGTACAAGCATCAAAAATTAAGCACTGCGCGTGTTTTGCTGCTCCTGCTGCGTGCGGTCTGAAGGTAGCATCATAGAAAAATAACCAGTGTTGGGCACGTTACTTTGAAAAAGTAATTAGTTATAGTTACTAGTTACTTCTCCCAAAAAAGTAACTGAGTTACTAACTGAGTTACTCCACAATAAAAGTAACTAGTTACTAGTAAAAGTAACTATTGCGTTACTTTAGCATTTCTCGCCACCGTAACCCTCACCACCCGGCCCCCACCTTCTCACCGTGTGTTTCTAAAGCCAGCTGAATAGAGCGGACGACAAAAAAAAGGACCTGCAGAGAGTTTAGCAT